ACTAAATGTGATGGAGGAATTTAGAATATATGATTGCTACACAGTGGGATATTTTATTAGTATTATTATAACTGACCCATTTATTAATATCATATTTTGATCTCACTACTGATAAGGCGGAAATAGTCAAATATGGGGAATGATAAATTGAATTGCCTTCGGGGTTCCTTGAAATAAAAATGAAAATATAACTTTTGTAACAGATATTGAATTTTCATCGATCAATGACTTCTAAGTTTAATTGAAAGAGAAGAAATGAAATTTTGTTGAGATTAAATGAGATACGACTAAATTAAATGATATTTCAAAATTTTAACAATTAATTCTTCTGAAGAACTGTTTAATGAACCATTTAATACCTGTTACAATACCTATTTATTTATTAGCAGTAAATAGATTGAATAATACTTGATTAAATTTTAAAAGGAGATGATATTGCTGCCAGAAATATAACTTTTTCAAATTCAAATTTAGATTTCAAAAAAAAAAGAAATGCACTTCAATTCAAATCCAAAACTATTTGATAATAATTCGTGTTTTTCATCTTATTTGTTATCAAATTAGCAATGAAATGTGGAGGAAATCGAAAATCAAAAATATATTTGAAAAGAATGAAACATTCGGGAAGATTTTTTTTTGCTTCGAATGGATAATAGCAATAATTGTAAAAAATTGCTATAAAATTTCTAATACTTTTTATTATTTGCATAGCAAAATTTTCATTGATTACTTATTTGCACAATGTTCTTGAACTATGCTAATATCGTAACGCTGTCCTACAATAACATCAAGTTCTACTAGCTATTTGATGCAATTACTGAGCTAACATTATTGTTCTGATAGTCTTACATTTGGAGCTTGAAATTTGGAAATTTCAAATGAGATAATCTAAAAAAGTAACCGCATAAATGCTTAGATTAAAAATAGTAACATTGAAAGTTAAAATTTAATGCTTTTCTGCACCATTTTTGTTGCATATTCAAAATTTCAAAAGTTGAAAATTTTAAATGAAAAATGTCGAAAGTAAGATGGTGCGATAACATTTGCTGTCATCGTTGATTTATTATAATTACATTTCGAAATTTCTTACATTTTAAAAATTCGAGAAATCTAACCTTATAGAATTGAAAAAACAAAAAGATTGCTCATAGAGTACTCGTACGTTTCCTACGTTTTCTCGAGTTATTACTTTTAGAATTATCAATGAAATTTCATTTACTATACAAATAATCAAAAATTTAATTACATCATCACCAATTTCTTCATTAATTCTTCCCACCACCATTTCATCATTGTAATTATTATTGTCAGCGCTATTTCAGTCATTATTTTGCATTTGTCACCATTTGTTCCTATGTTTGCTATTTTGAATTTTATTTGAAAATTTGGCGCCAGTAATTATCTGCTAAAAGAATCTAATTTAAAAATTTCAGAAATTTCCTTCGAATTTCATCTTCAGTCTGCTACTTTTTGCTACTGCTACTACTATTGCTGATATTAAAATGTTTATTTTAAAATAAATCATTTCAATCATTCTATAAAGTGACAACGCTGATTTTTGCTGCTCTAACAATTTTACAATTTCATCTCTGAATTATGAGAATTCATTCCATTTTTTTTTCCCATTTAATTCTATGTGACATTTAATCTCATTCATTCAGAATATGCGAATGAAGAAAATTCAATTTGAAGGAAAATATAATCGTATTATTCGAACTGCATAATTATTTCTACATCTCTTTGGTGGAATTCAAGTGAGCTTTAATGTCCTATTTTTTTACGTGCACTTTTATAAATTTTTTTTTTAAGAAATTTTTTACATTGAAATATTTTTAAAGAAAAAAAATGGCAATAATGACAAAAAGTTGCAATATTTACAATACGATTGCATTTTTTCTCGTTTATTTTTATTAAAATTTAATTTTTCGATCTTTATCATTTTATGCTAAAATTGCTAATGAATTTTCGATAAAAAACGAAAATTTATTAGCAATTTTGTATGCAAGAAGATTTTAATTAATTTTTAAAAAATAAAAAAACTATCATTCATTAGTGGCATCACTTTTTTGTTCCTTCTCAAGGAACAGGACGATATTTTCGGGAATTTGTGAAGTT